TTTTTTGGAAATGATTGTGGGTTTATAAATGTGGTTGAGTTGTGATAAAATGATGGATTTTTATCTTTGGAATTGATTTATAAAGAAAAAGGGAATTTTACCATAAAATGTGAATATTTGATTTTGTAAAGAGGAAATGGAAATGATATTGGATTTTATGAAATTGGAATAATGATGATGATGATGATGTTGGTGGAGTTTGAAATTTGAAAATATTTATCTTTATCGGAAATTATCTATCTGTTTAGAGATATTTGTTTTGGGCTATCAGTAGAGGATAGTTATGATTGTTGTACAAATTGCTTGAGAATTAGGAGAATTGAAACTAGTTTCTCATCTATTTGCATTGAGCATTGTTGCATACTTAACACATTGAAAATGTGTATTGTTTTGAGAAAAGATGGTGAATACCTTAGTGAATCTGGGTACGGGGTGTGGTTATGGTATTATTGTTGCCCTGTGTGTCCTTGGTGAAAGTCGAAAGCTACATAGTTAGGTGTCGAGCCATCCGGTTAGTACCAGTAAAAAAGGCATTGGTAGTGCTTGTATAGCCTACTTGCAGACACGTATCTAGAGATTCTCAGTGCTTGTATCCACTATCCTATTTTCTATTGTAAAGTAAATATTTTTATGAATTGTGATATAAACCTGGCATTTCATGGTTTTGGAAAGAGATATCAAATGTTTTGGCATGAGCATTGCATATGCATTCACCTTATAACTTTGTTAAGATTCATACACTGTGTTAGAGTATCTTTACTTGGCTTTGGCTCACCCTATGTGGAAACCCATTTTTAGGTGTTGATGATATGCCTCCACCAAGGCTGTAGCTTAGGAGGACTTGGAGCCAAGAGCTTCGTTTTGTTATTGTTGTAATTATTTTTGTACAAGCCTAGGACTTAAACTGTATTGAGTAAAAACTCAATTTTGTTGTAACCAAGCATAGTCTTGGAAAGTTGTAGCCATTAGGACATTTTTATATCTATTTAACTTTTATTTCATATGATTAGCTTGTGGCACATGCTATAGATTCAAGGTTAGGACTTTAGAATGTATAACTGAATGTATTACCTTTTTGTACAATGGAATCTTATGAATGGAAGGATACCATATTCAGAATTATATTGATAAATTATGGTTATTATTTCGGAGTGTTACAGGTTGAGACCGACCCTCATTTCTTTTTCGTATAGAGATAGTTGCATTAAAAAAAAAAGGGTTTTGTCAAAATTGGACTAAGCTTGAAAATTTTCTAAGTGTGAAAATTATATTTTTCAAAACTTACGATTTTGAAAATAATTTTTGGCAGAAATTGTTCCTTATATATTAAATTGTCTAATTTGATTTATGGGATTTTTCTACGAAGTATTAATCCCTTTACTTCAACATTAAACTTAGAAATTTCAGTTGAAAAAGGAAATAAGGTTGTTTACATTGTAAACTTAAGTAAATAAATAATTACAAAAGGAAATAAGGTTGGTGTGCAGGAAGTGCCTTAGGAACTGAGTCTGTGAGTCTGTGTCTCTCCAACAAAACTCAGTTCGCTAGAGCGTTCGAGCGGCCTGCTCCTTAGGCCTGAGATTCTGGGAGTCTTCTTTCTTTACTCGAGCATAAGAGTGAGCGCTTGTGCAGTTTGTTCGGAATCAGCCACTTAAATTCGATCTTTTGATCCACTTTTCTCACTTTTTCTTTCTCTTTTCTTGTCCGAAAAACCCTAACCCTAACCCCAAACCCTTGATTTCACCCATTTTCTTCAATAGATCATCCAAGACCTTGTCCTAAAGACGAAAAGGAAGTGAAGATCAATGTTTCTACCGATTGAATCACATTATCTTTGAAGTTCTCCTTGGGTTTTCATCTTCATGTATTCGAGGTAGGGGCAATTTTAACTTCGTATATCTATAATATGAGGTGTATATGTGATAATTTCTTAATTATACTTATGTATAAGATGAATGCGTTAGATTAAATGGAAGTTGGTGCATAAAAATAAAAATATAAAAGGAATTTTTGCCTAAGATTTTGAAAGGTTTTGAATAACTATTGATGGTAAAGGTTGTTGATGACCAATATTTGTTGTTAAAATGAACGTGGAGGAAAAGCCTCAAATTTTGTTTAACCCTAGTTTTGATTTTTCTTTAAAGAAGGAGTTTTGTTCAATTGGGCCTTCATTAATGAAATTGGGTTGATGTTTAGTGGAATGGTGTATGAATAATGATTTTGAGACGTTATGCAGTTTTTATATTGTGATGAAAGAAATTGGGTATTGTTGGGAATGTGGAAATTGGAAACTTCTTAACTATGAAGATTTATTTAGGCAATTGAAATGTTTACAAATTCATGCATTGCCTTACATTATAAAATTTCATCTCTTGATTTTGTACAATCTCTTGGATATTTGAAAATGTTGAAATGGGGAAAATGGCACATGAGTCCGAGTAATAGAGTTAGGTTTTGGAATTGGTACCCACATGGGGAGTCAAGGTGCCCAATTACAATATCTTAAGCTTATCGCTGGACGAATGTGGGAAAAGGTTTTTGGGTGTCCACAAGCCTGCCATTTCAAGAGTCAGCAAATGTGGAAAAACATGATTTTTGGGTGTCCACAAGCCCGCCATTCAAGAGTCGCCAAATGTGAACGAGAAAAGGTTTTTTGATGCCCATTACCCCGTCATTTTTAGAGTCGGTGAATGTAAGAATATTTTTATTATACAAATCTGTATATGTATGTGTGGTTTTGCGGCTTTTACTTGGGATCTCATTGCATATTTACCGCCCTATTGTTGATAATTAGATTTTAAATGGAAATTGGGCATTGAACATCATTGTTTTTAAAAGAGAAAAAATATGGATTTTATCATGGCATGTGCATAGCATGATCATATGTATTTCAATCATTTACATACTCTTGTTAATAGTATTCCTACTGGGTATTAGCTTATCTACATCATAACAAACATTTCAGGTTGTGGTGATGTGCTTCCATTCAACTAGGAATTGGTGGAGGTCTTGATAAAGCACGAGACCTCACTTTGGATGTTTTATGTGATTACAACCAACAGACTTCTGTGTTTGGGATAGAATTTCGCTTATGTGTATAATTAAGGCCTTAGCCTTGAAAGAAGTAAGCTCTCTTTGGGCATTTTGTTGTATTTCTTTTATTTCTTGAACTGTAATGTATTATAATTTTGAACAATAATGTTGTAAAGTGAAATGTAACTTCTATGAGAAATCTAATGAGAAGAGATAAACATTGGACTTGTGAAATGGTTGTACTTTAATTAATTTTCTTTAACTCTTTCTTTGAATTTTGAAATTGGAGATTAATAAAGGATCAATAATTATAAAATGGGTTAAAATATAAGGGCGTTACACAACCCTTATCTTTAGATAAAATTCTTAACACAATCAAACTAGCTAAATTTCATACCGTAACAATCACATCATCCCAAGGGTCTCTTTCCACAACTTCTAATGCTGCCCTACCTCAAAACCCCCTCTACTATCATCTTGGCAATAACCAAAGAAGTAATGGTGTGCCCTTGGGATGTGAAAAAAAAGAGATATAAGAAAGAGCATAAATGGAGAGAGAGAGAGAGAGAGAGAGAGAGAGAGGGAATTACAAGAATGAGAAGTTGAAAAAATATTTACCAAAAGGTGAAAGTTGGTTGTTGCATAAAAATATGTTATACCCTACGTGTTTGTAATTATTTTCAGTTTTTTATATGGAATCATAATTTTCCTAAGAAACAATAAATAAATAAAAAAGGGTTACATTTGCGTTTCTGCCATTGCAATCTTTCTTAGCTACCTCTATAATGGATCGATGTAGAGAAAGAAAGGTAAAAAAGAGCATAAAATGAGAAAAAAAAACATAAGAGAGCAAAAAAGAGAGAGAAATAGAGAAAACTACCTTCTTAGGTCATGATTTTCTTGCCAAACCACTAGTGTTTATTGGCCTATTTAAGTGCAACTTCTTTTGGTTAATAAGAAAGTAAATAATCTAAACGGAAAAATCAAAAAACTAAAAGCATTTCATTCATGATTCCCACACTACTAAAAAAATGACTATTTGCCACCATATAATTTGCAACCACCCAATTATCCGTCGCAAATAACCAATTTATTCGTTATTTCCTTCTATTTATTTTCCCATTTTCCTTTAATTTGCCCTGCCCTTCACAAACACTGATTGTTCTCTCTCTTGCACGCATTCTCGCTCTGTCTCTCTCTCTCTCTCTCTCTCTCTCTCTCTCAGTTCGCACTGGTATGAATCTCTCAATCTCGTTCTCTCTCTCTCTCCCCCTTCATGTTCTTCTCAATCTTGTGCTCTCTCTGTTTCGAACTCGATCATTGAAGGTACACGTTCTCTCTCTCTCTCTCAAGTTTCTTTCTCTGTTTCTTCTTGTTTTCGGGTTTCAATCTACACCTAGGGTTTCGATCGAGTTCAAGGTACTTTATCTCAGAAATTCTTCTCTCTATTTCTATCTTACTCCATTTTTTCTTAGTTTACGATTTGAATCTACTCCTAGGGTTTGGATCGATAAATGACCCTTGCAATATTCAATTTGAATGTGTTTGAACTCTTGATATTTGATTGAATCACTTTGATTTAATTCAATTATTCTCTTATTTATATGTATTTCAAATACCTATGTGTACAGATTTTGGAGTGATTTGGTACATATTATATGTGATTGAGAGGAAGTTTGGGATGATATACTGGATTAATTTCTAGAAAACTCAGGGGATGTGTTGGCTCTTTTTTGATATCTGGTTGCTTCAATCTCTCTATTAATTTGTTTGCTTGCTCATAAATTGGAGGGAAAAATGGAAAATGTGATTTTCAATATTGATATTTGGTTGCTTCAATCTCCTTTAGTTTGCTTCTCTCTATCTCTCTCGGTCTTTGAATGTCCCTATAAATACTTATCTAGCTTTCTCATATTCCATCTATAATTTTGGATCATTTATGATCTGTCTGTGCATCCTTAGGTTTTCAGGTTTTGAGTTCAAGTTATAAGTTTTGCGGTAAACATTCAATTGAAATGCAAGCTGAAACCCTAGCATCTTTTGCACACTCAGCAGGCCAAACTAGTGTTGTCGCCATTTCTTCTGCAAGGTAAACTTTACTACTAAAGTTTGATTTACTTCTCTTTGTATCCATTCATGTTAATAATAAAATAATGAGACACATTTAGGTGAGCTTTTTAGAATGCCATCATTTCTATTGGGATCTTCTGTCCCCAACTCTTGTCCCCATCTTCTATATGAGATTTTACAAGAATGTCAGTTTAGTGGCTTTCCAAACTAAAACTTCACGCAACTCTATCTTTCATATTGTAAACCATTGTAAAGTTTAGGATTGTTTGACTTCTTATTCTGTATTTATTTATTAATTGTTTGACTTCTTATTCTATATTTATTTATTATTCTTTGGATCTTTGAATTTGTTTCCCATGTAAATAGAATTAGAATTTATCATCCCATTGCCTTGTTTTTTCAATTTAAAATTCCAATCTACATATCAGGTTATTTTTCATTTCTGGTAATAAAAGAATACTAAAGATGTGAGCTATAGAATTTCTCTATTTTGATAACCTTTTGTATCACTCGCCCATTATTGATGTATAGGAAATGAGATAATTTTATAATAATCTAACCAATAACTACATGAGCCACAACTAATTACTATTATTAATTTTTTATAATAATCTTTTGTTTAGAAATTGTCAGTGTATGTATGTCCTGTAGTGGGTAATTTTAATATATGTAGGGACCTCTTTGTAGAAAACATGAGAAAAGAGGGTTATGTGTGCCTGTAAGCTAGCAAACTAAAAAAAAATAGAGATGGTAGTTCTTCTATGCAGTAGAAAAAGGTAGCAAAAAATTGTGATTTTGGTGGCTTTTATGCTATGCTCTAAAGGAATAAGTAAAAACCTTGTAAACTTAGAAATTTTAGTGAACAATTCTGACCTTTTAGTGCCTAAGCAAGTCTTTTAAATGCTTTTTTATATATGTAAGTATGTATGTAGTGCCTTCTGGTGTTAAATTGCTTGGTTAAAACTCCATGTTTTGTGTTGAAATACTCAAATTACATTGATTGTTGTTTTTCTTATTTCTAGAAAGATTATTTTAGGAAGTAATGTTATAATTGAAGACCAGGAGAAAAAATTTCAAGTTTTTGTAATGTGTATAAGTTCTACATGTGGGTAAGAGGGAAAAAAAAAAGGTCATAAAATAAGATGTGGTGTGTTGTGTAAACTGAAGAAAAGCAAAGAGCTCAAAGCTCTAGTAAAAAAAATAGATAGAAGGAAGTTAGTGGAGTCTGGTTCTATTATGTTATGTAAAAAGGTCTTGTAAACATTGTTTTAGTCTCCTTTCACTTGGTTCTTTTCCAGGACTTGTATTCTAAGGTCTGCTGAATCTGGCCAATCGTATTCTAAGGTCCATGATAAAGCTACACAGGAAGTGAGCTCTTAGGTACGGCTTTACCTTTTCATCAATTCCCAATGGGGTGTGTGTGTGAATATGTATTCTCAATTATAGCATGAAATCATCATACTGTACTTCTTTCTCTTGGAAAAACTAAACTAATGATTTAAATATATTAGCAATATAAATGATGAGAGACCCCCTATATGTATTTCTTCTCTCTTTCTTCTATTCTTATATGTATATTTGTTTTAAATATTGGAATGTTGCTATGGAAAAATGCAAAAAATCATGTGGTTAGATGGCATTATAACATAAATCAGAATTTCTACTTGATTTGGTGCAGCTAAAAGTTTTTAGCTAGTTTTTGAACATTATATGTTCTGTCCACACTTCAAAAAGAAAAAACAAAAAAGAAGGGAAGTGAGAATGCCGTCTCCTTTTTATTTTTCATTTTTTATTTTTTTTCTTGTCGAGTTTGGTGACATAGAATATGATTTGGAACTTTTATGGGTTGGTGGAATTTGGTGGATGATAAATTTTATCACATTTGTTTGATAAATGAGGTTTCTTGGAGCTAAGGTATCCTGAAATGTTGCTACCTGTTGCTTGGCTACCTAACTTCTAGTTTCTGAGGTCTTCATTTTAGTATTCCATGATTGTTCCATAAGATGTAAGTGAAAATTATATGACGTAATGTTACTCCATTTATGTGATATGAAATTAAATCTCAAAGAATCTAGTAGAATTTTCTGAGGTCTTCATTGGCTTTGAGCTTTGGGCCATTCTTCTTGGAATGTTATATGACACGTTTTCAATCCTAGCCATGCTTGTAAAGAAGATTAAAATAAAATGCATGCAGTGATAATTTGTTAGATCAAATAAGATTGCCAAAATACAAAACTGATCAACTTTATAGTATTATGAATATGTTTAAGGTTACCTGTTTACTTTGTTGCTTGAGTAAAAATATGACCTCTACTAATTAATATGCAGACGTGCTATCCTGGAACAAAAGCACCTGATTTAGAAGAAGATGATAAATTCTATGAGGACTTCAATATGAATGAAGTTGACTTGAATATTGAGAACTATGAAGAAATATTTGGTGTAGCTCTTAATGATCCAGAACAACTGTTCGGTAACAATGGAATTGGTAGCTTGTTAGGAGTAAAGGACATGTCCGATGCTGATTTGAACCATCAAGGCACATATGCAGCTGAGGTACTCTTGCTTTCTCTTATGTTGCTTAATCTTATCCTTATTATTCTCATCAGCTATAATCGGCTCATTTGTTTGTTGTTTTAGTCCTTCATCGCTTTCTGCTTTACAATGTGTCACTGTCAATGCATAGTTCTAACATCTTTGTCCCATTGAGTTGTGAGAAATGGAACTTTGTTCATAAATATTGCTTTCTTTCCTATCTGCCAAATTTTGGTCAAATGGAATGTTCTTGGTGGATATGGTTTCTTTTGGTATATGCATGAGCTTTGTGCCCCCTAGTGATCAATTGGAATGTTCTTGGTGGATATGGTTTCATTTGGTATATGCATGAGCTTTGTGCCCCCTAGTGACTACCTATGGGACTCGAACCCATGCCCTCCAGTCCATCAGGCTACCACCGTCGGGTGATAATGAAACTTGTCACTCAGTTCCAATATTTGATTGGTAAGTGCAACTTAGGTTTCCTGCACTTGAATTATAGTAGTGTTTGTATGAGTAAACCTTCCTTCGGAACCTCCATGGAAAAGCCCCCACCATAGATTACTGTTACTTCTCACAATTCTTGATGGTCAAATTGTGCCTTTGGCACTCCAATTATAGCTCCTTTCCTCCAAGATGTGAGTTCATGGAAATTCATGAGCTTGGGAAGCTAAAGTGGAGTTCTAGTGGGGCTATCCTATTTATAAACCAAGAGAATTTGTTAACAGTGCAAATATTTTGGAAAGTAAAAGATTTCTGGAATTAGGATGCAAAGTACAATGGGCAATAATATTTAATATTGTTGGCCATGCATCTTGATTCTTTTTTTATTTGTGAGTGTGCGTTTGTTTTCAAAAAGTGCCCTATGGTTTTCCAATTATCATTGGAGTGGAGTAGCTAATGATTTCTGTGTATAAACACTTGAATGATTTTGCATGGATGGCACGAGGAAGCATTGAATTTCTGACATGATTATTGCTTGCCAAACTGACATAAACACCTCTCATCTCCTTTCAACACCTGTCAATCACGTTCTAGCAAACATTTCACACTTGCATGTATGTCATCAAATATTTCTGCTAGAGTGACTGAATAAACGCTTATGCTTTCTCTCATTGAAGTTTTACTGAAACCCCTTGTTATTTGTGATTGTGAGTTTACATCTGATTTAAAATGCACTTATCATCAAATGTTGCTTGTTTTCCCCAGGGGTCATCAATTGGACTAGTTAAGTCAATGCAGCCGGCTATCAACAATTCGGCATCTGCTGATTCCGTGATAAGCTCTAAAACTGATCTAAACCTTTGCTTTGCAACGCATGCCCTTTCCAGCATCTCATTTTCTGGTCTTAGCGTGGAGCGTAGTGTTGTAGATCATCAAGACTAGTGCTTCTCCAATGGTTCTCATGGGAGAGTTGCCTCCATTGTGTCCTGAAAGTTTATTCCCTTCAACTAGTAGGAGCAGCGCTGGTATGCGTTACATGGAAAGAAGAAGACACTCAAGTAAGAGTAGAACAATTTTTTTTTTTTTTACACGTCATTAAGGTTAAAAAAAGAAAAGAAAAGAATATTGTGTGGACCTAGGAAGCATGGATGTGTATTTAATTCACTTTCAATTCTTTTTGATTGTTTAGTTCTTTTGTTTAATGGAAAGTATATTTTGAGGATTGTGATAGTTCTGAGGAAAGAAAAACAAGAAAATGTAGAAGAAGTGTTAATGCATGAATGTTGAGATTTTATTAAGGGAAGAAATGGAAAATAATGCATGAATGTTGAGATTTTTGCAAATATGTCTTTACGTTTATTGTATATAATATTTGAATGTATATATAGATATACATGCCTTTTTTTTTCTCTTTTTTCTTTTTTGCGACGGTAAGAAGATGGTCGCTAATACATTGTAGGCATTTTTTAAACTCTTTTGCGACGGCAAAATATCAGTCGCTATAAGTAGGTTAGGCAATCGCAAATAGTTTGCGACTATTGTTTTGCGGTCGCAAAAAGTATTTGCCACCCCCACATTCACGACCCTCATTTGCCGTCGCATGGGCAGTCGCAAAAAGTCTTTTGCGACTGTTTTTTTATTGTTTGCGACAGCTTGTAGCGGTCGCAAAAAGTATTTTTTTTAGTAGTGCCAGTTGATGACTATGGCCCAAATACAAGCGGCCTAGTTCAACCATGGCTTAAACCCAATTGCACCCTCATGCAAACTCAAAACAATCACCCTAACCCATGTCCAGAGGCTCGAGATGGCTCAGTTGGCCATGAAGACTTGGGACCCAATATTGCCGATCCCAAATCCAAAGGTTTGACTTCTTATAGCTCTCAATAGCATCACAAAACACGACAGACAGGTAGCGTCGAAAGCTCCACCTACCACCTGACCTTACAGGTACATCAAACACAACACTTAAGGATGATACGCTACACGGCGTCCTATGAGAGGTATACGGCAAATCCACCTAAGATAAGCACAATGGAAAAAAAGAAGGTAAATATGCGAACACCATTCATGCACACACATAACATTACTTCACCACCACGTCAATAACACTAACTTGGCCTTCAGAGGACCTAAGGGGAAGACACCCACCAGTGGATCCTCAAGGGTTTGTTTTGTAAGTTAATTAAGACAGAAAGCTGAATCTAACACCTCATTAGCTCGTAAGGTTGTGGTCTGACTACTTAGATCGACTTAGCATTCAACCATTGGACTACTGGGAAACTGACATACATCACTAGTAATTATTTTTTAATTTATAAGATTTAAGTCAACAGTAACAAACAACTATATTTTTAAATATTTGGTGAATTCAATTCTTATGGGGTCATATGTTATTTAATCAAAGGTTTAATATTTTTTGGTGATAAAGACACGGGTTGAAAAGTCGTTAGTGTAGCTCGACTTTTCATGCCCCCTATTGAAAGACGAATAAGCCCTGCTGTATCGAACTCCCACGGCTCTGAATTTGATCTCACAAGTGCAATGTAAAATAGATAAACACCAAAGAGTCCAAATCCATCAAATCTTTTGGAAAATCGATTTTGAATCAAATTGTCAAAAATGGACTACTTTGCCAGATATAGAGTCGCCACCTAAATATTTTTGAAAAATTTCAGAAACCCATGACTCATGCCAAAGGCCACGTGTCCATCATCACCAAGATTGTCTCAGCTTGGGAACTTAGGTACGAGAGGGGAAGGTCATGAATTGAGCACCCTCACTCGACCGATCAAAGATCGGCCTCTACTAATCATGATATGAATTTTATCTACATTATATGCTCTTGTTCCGATTTATTAGCTAATTTACTATGTGATGCGCACACACACAAGTATAGACTAATTTGCAAGAATTGGAACATTTGGCTCATGTTCATTTTTTAAAATTGTTTCGAATATGTACCACTTGAAAAAAGTGATCACATAAGAACATTACTCAAATTTTACCAATTCAAGCAATTAGCCTTCATCCACAGGCATTCAGGCAATTTATCATTTAAGCACATTGCCTCATGGTGAGTATGCTAAACATGACAACATTAACATGCATGCGATATGCTAAAGCAAATAAAAGCTCACCTAGTACTCCAACCCAAAAGGAAGGAGTTAGAAAAATGTATCCTCTAACTAGTGCAACATGACTAATGCAACACATGTGATATGCAATTACTAGGCTCGGCTACTAATATGGCATATAAAGCAATTTGATAGTATGCGGTTGAAGCACGTATTCAAAGAAATATTTAAATGGCAATGCAAGTTAGAATGATGTGCCGAGCCTCGGTGCAAGCAAAACAAGTGGATGCAAATCATCAAAGATGTTAAAAGAAACATGATGCCCTA